TCTGTTGTTGGTTCCCGGGGCTGTGGGGGTTGCCTGCTAGCAGTTCTGGGGCGGTTTTGCCCATTCAGGGGTTTTTCTGCTGTTGGGCGGCGTTTTTCGCCCTTCCAGTCTGCTAGCTTCCCACATTTGCTGGCGTGTTTTTGTGTATTTAGCGTCAGTCACAGCCCCTGCTGGCGGCCATTTTCGTCTGCCGGTTTCACGGCGTGGCGACCAGGGCGGCGTTGCGGTTTGTTTACATGCGTCTGGGTGTGCGAACGAGCGTCTCTGAGTTTTCAAAAAATTTTCAGGGTTTTTGTTCTCCTGTTGTCGTTTCTTTGTTTTTCTGGTGTTTTCTTGCCGTTGCCTGTTCCTCTGGGAACGTTTGGGTGTTGATTTTGGGTCTGAGCCTATGGGTTTAGGCTCAGTGCCCCTGGCTGGTATGCTTGCTCCCACACCTTGCCCCTCGGTTTTCGGTCTGTTGGGACCGTTTTCCCAGGGCGTTCTGCTGGGGTCTGTGCTTTGCCTTTCAGTGGTGTTCTCCGCCAGCAAATGTGGTGGTTGGGCTCCCCCTGGTTCGATTCTGGGTTCCTTTGGGTTCCTTGGTTTCGTTCTGGAGGATTCTTCCTCTTGGGCCCCCTTTTGTGGGTTCAGGGGACTTTGTTTCCTCGTGTGCCCCGGTTCTGCCTTTTGGGGTTCCGGGGTCTTCCTGGCTTGCAGGCTGAGCTTTTTGGGTCTTGGCACATGTTGTGGTTGTGCTGGGACTTTGTGGTTTTGCTGTCGAGGTGGGCCTTTTGATGCAGTTTTGTGCCTTCTTTGCCTGGCCGGCGTAGTGCTCTCTGCCACTAGTCGGCGGCTTGTGCTTTTACAATATATGTCTTCACCTAGTTGTGCTTGTGGGGGTTGAGCTCTGGCTCCTTGGTCCTGCCTCTCAACCGTCCATCAACAGGTGTATCGGTTCCTGTTCCTCTTGGGCTCTGTCATGTTTACATGTGACATTGTATGGGGGTCAGTCTCGTTACTTGTGTGAGGAGTCGCCACATTACTTCCTAGTGCTTTCCCGTTCCCATTCTGACACTATAAAAAAAAAAAAAAAAAAAAAAAAAAAAAAAAATTCTATCTGTGGCTCTTTTGGGTACTTGGTTTCCACCTGTGTCCCCTAGTGCGTGTGCCCCTTGTGTTACATAGCCTGTCCTTATCAGCCCTGTCGATTCCCTTGGGTATCTTGAATGTGGTGATCAGGTCGCCCCTCACTTCATCTTCCAGCGAAGTGTGGTTTCATTCCCGTAGTCTCTCCTCATGACTTCGGTAGTGTACTTTTTCTTTCGGAAGGGGTTCTGTTCCCTTCTCTGTTGACTGGGCGCTGGGGGAGCAGCTTGCTCTGTTGCCTCTCGCTTGGTCCCGCTGTTGGTGGGCGCTTTGGGTTGTCTTCCGGCCTCTGCTGGCGTCGGAGGACGGCTTCTCCCCCTTGGGGGGGGGGGGGGTTCAGAGCTGGCGGGGTGGGCTTCTTCCCCTGCGCTTCGTCATTTCCTCTTCGTGGGTGCATGGGGCGTGGTCGATCCGCCCCATCCTTCTGGGCTTCCCATCTGCTCTTTGCAGTCATGAGCTTTTCCCGTCTGCTCTTTGCAGTCATGAGCTTTTCCGGTCTGCAGCTCTTCTGGACTACTTCAGTCTGCGCCCTGGATCCTCTGCCCTCCTCGGAGGACTGTTGTCTCCTGTTCGGATTCTGTTAGGGCCGGGTGCATAGATGGTGGACCTGGACCTCCAGGTCACTTCTTGGCACGTTCCTCTCCAGTTTTTCTGGGGCTAGCACGGTTGGTAATTACCTATGTGTACTTACCTAAGTGTAGTTACAGGATGAGAGCTACTCTCGTGGTGTCCCGTCTTCCCAGCACTCTTTGTCATATGATTGTCATATTGTCATATGATTGTCATATGTCATAATATGTCTTAATATGATTGTCATATAATGCTTTGGTGGTGGGGCTTCAGGTTTGCTGTTTTTATTGCCTTCCCTATTTTGTTAAGGGCACTTTGTATACTCTTTGCATCTTTACCGGATCTTAGTGCCCTGTCTGCGTCTGAGATTCGGTGTCTGGCCTACCTCGACGACTGGCTGGAGTGGGCTCCCAGTCAGTCCGCTTGTCTGCTCGCCAGGGGATGGTTCTTTCCAGATCGCTGGGTTTGGTTTCCTGGTGATCTGGAGGTTTTTCCTTCTTTTTCCGTCCCGGGTTCGGACCTGGGCCTTGTTTCAGGCGCTTGGGCCCCTCATTGTCTTCCCTCCAGAAGTGTTACTGCGGCTGTGGTCCCGCCTTTGGCTGTTCAGGAGGGGGTCCCGGGTTGCTCAGCGGTTGCTTGGGCGGTTGTGCGGGAGTTTGCACTTCGGCGTGCTTGTCTGCCCGCGGAGTCGGGTTTGGCTACGGCGTCGGTTGGTTCCTACGGAGACTCCCCTTCCGCCTCTTGCATTCCTTGGGTTCCTCTGGGGATCTGGTGTTGGTGCTGCGTCACCAGCTTCCTCTTTGGGGTTTTCGGGGTTCCGTGCCTTGGCACCTCCCCGAGCCTTCGCTCGATGTGTTCACGGACGGGTCGTCTCTCGGCTGGGGCTTTGTGACCAGTGCTCACCAGGTCGTCCGAGGTTGATGGAGTCTGTCTGTCCGTCGGGCTCACAGCCCGGTTCAGGTGTTCATGGCTGTCTGGTTTGCGCTTCGGAGGGTTTGGGTCACTAGGTACTCTACCATTCAGCTCTGTTTGGACTGTTCTCGGGTGGTTCTTGCCGGAACCACAGGGGGTTTGGTTAACCGTGTGGTTCGTGTCCGGGGTGTGTCCTGCGTCCTGGTGGACAGCTCTCGGTTCATTCCTCTTCGTGGGTTGGCCAGTCGTCGCCGATTCGTTTTGTTGGCTCTGTTGGGCTTATGGACTCCTGGCCATGGACGTCTTCGGGTCGGCGTGGTCTAGGCGTCGCCCGTTTTGTGGCGCCCTTCCCACCTGCGAGGACTTCACGGTGGAGGCTTTCGGCAGGCCTGGTCGAGGTGGGGGATACCTGTCCCTCTTCTCCCGGTCCAGCTGTTGCTTCGGGTTCTGGCTCGGTTGCAGCCCATTCCCACGAGAACAGTCCTTATGGTTCCATGGTGGCCGGCCCGGCCTTCTTTTCAGACGCTGCTTGATAGGTGTCCGTACCCGGGGCGTTTTTCCTGAGGCTTCGCCTCTTTCAGCAGGCCGAATCGGTCCTGTCCGTGACTGGTTCGGCCTTCTCTTTGGCTCTTCGCGTCTGGTATTTTGACGCAGGTATCACCATCTCTATGGTGTTCTGGTGGCTTTGTTGACGGTGTCCCACCTGCGAGCTTCGTCTTGGAGTCAGTATGACGTTTATTACGTTTTCTCGCGTTTTGTTTCCCCTCCGGCCTGCTCATGAGTCGCCTGAGCCATCCTGGTCCTTGTTCAGGGTGCCTTCTTATCTTCCCCTCAGTTTGTGGTAGCCCCTTCGGTTTCAGTTTCCTCCTCTTTGGTACTGGTGGTAGCTTTGTTGGTGTGCAGCCTTTCTCTGTCCTGGCGACGGTCGAGACGGCTGCTTTCCGGAGGGGTTCTTGGGGTATTGGTACTTGTTTGGTTTGGCCGGGGGGTGCGTCCTGTGTTGTCCGGTTGTGCTTTTTGCTGTTGCCGGTGTACCGTGCCTGGGGATGCACTGTGGTTGATCCGGTTCCTTCGTTCCCTGTTTTCAGGGCTCGGGTCTCCCAGGTCGTCCGCAGTGTTTTCCTTCTTCCTGCGGTCTGTCTTTGCGCCCGTGCTGTTCAGACGTTTGCAGCATTTGCTGCTGTGTTGGTGACGTCTCGGGCTCATTTCGGGCGCAAGGAATTGTGGGTCGCACAGGTTTTTGGCCGCCCATCCATATGTGCGTCTGTTCTTGGGCGTTCTTGTTGCCTTGGGTCGCAGGTTTGCGACCGGTTGTCTTGGCTTTGCGTTGCAGAGTTTGTGGCGGCCGCCTCCCGGGTTAGCCCTTTCTTTTCCTTCTCTTTGGGTATGAAGCTCCAGGGAGCCGTAGGGGCTCCCCACAGAAAACCAGCGTTGAATGTAATGAAACGCCATTTTCTGGGTGAGCCCCGGAGGCTCCCTGGAAACCCTCCCTCCCACCGGTCGGCGGTTTTTTCGCGTTGGTTGAAGCTTAGCTTCCGAACTGGAGCTTGGCAGCCGGCGCGGAAGGTCCGGGGCTCCCCCCTCCCCCTCCCGGGGTGGAGAGGGCTGCGCGGACGATCGGCGCGGCAGTAAAGTGTGATGTTTGCTTGTTTGCTTGTTTCCTTGGGATTGTAGGGAGTTTTCTACCTCTCTGTTCGGTTTTTGTTGTAGTTTCTTACCATGTGGGGTTTGTTTTGTTACGCCTACCTTTCTGGGTGCCTAACCCCGGTCGATGGCGGATAAGGAAAACCCCCAACCATATGGGGTTTTCCAGGGCCATTGCTCCCTGAAACCTCTCTGAAGGGGCCAGGTTCTGGCGCTGGTCCCTGGTAGGTCTGAACTCCTTAGCTAATGTCCCGGTCTAACATTACATACATTAGCCCGATAAGCTCCAGGGAGCCTCCAGGGCTCGCCCAGAAAATGGCGTTTCATTACATTCAACGCTGGTTTTTTGAAGATGTGTTTTTAAATACGAAAGTACTTAAGGAAATTCCTGTTTCAGTTCTTCTATTGTGGTCTGACACTGTCACATACTGTACTATAGTAAATATATGAAAACATGTGATATATGATCAAAGAAATATTCCAGATGAACACTGGAGACATGTCTCTCTTACTACATTGTCAGCAATGTCAACATGTGTTGACAGATACTGGTCCAGATTGCCATCTTGTCCAATGAATAAAAATTTATATCTTTATATTTTTTCAGTTTTTCTTACATTTTGCATACAAATTACTAATACCATGAAGAAGCTTGTGATACAAGTGCAGATGCAGATCTTGCTACAGTAATTAGTATGACAAGCTGTAATACACACACGAGTTCCACAAGTAATCCACTAATGTCACAGGTGGTGGGTGAAGCCGTTAAGGCACGGCAACAGTGTGGCTTGGCTTTGCTGGCGTGTTACCAGCATCCTCCCGAGCTGGAGCCAACATCCAAGCTTCCCAGCTCTATTGAGAAGAATCTTGACGAAGGTAGGCAACCAGATGTCCTTGATGCCCCATGAAGCTAACATTAACAAGATGTTAATGACCACTAAGACATATATGTAGACTTTATTGATGATGATCTTTTAAGTGTAAGGGCTTTATCAAATATTACTCAAGTTGATGAATTTCCTACAGGCTAAATGTCATCACCAGTAAAGTCAAGTATCGACTTGATGGTTTTGTTGCATCATTGTTGTTACTTTGTGCTCTGGTAAATTACACTACGTACTCTATTTTCCACCATATAAACTATCTAATTTACAAGGATATTTTCTGGGAAAAACTGTTTTAGTATGTTTCATCATACATTTACTGAAATTGACTTTTAAGTGATTTTGTAGAGTAAAACATGCAATTGTGTAAGTAAATGCAATGTATATTCAGTTGGCAGTGAACCAAAAATATGCATTCTATAAGTTGCAAAATATGGTAAGTGTCACTTGTTCACTTATAAGCTCTTCTCTGCATACACCTTTGTTCATATTGCATTTCTAAGATAAAAATGGTTTACATTTACTGAACAAAATTACTATAAATTGTGTTTATGTATCCAAAAATTTCATGTTGAGTATTGAAATGGTTCTCTCTGTGAGTAGGCTACCAATTGCTCTTCAAGGCAGGGCCAGGGTCCACCCACTGCTCACTAACCACAGTCCTCTCAACCTTGTGTACTATTACAAGAAGTAACATTCAAGTGATGTCTGCATAATATTTTATAGGGGCAGGGACACGGTGAAGAACAAAGCTCGCTCACACCATTCAAGGCAACTGCTCGCTATGATGCCGAAAGAAAGATAAAGTTCCTCAACATCATTCCCAAGTGATATGTAACACAAGGATAACCCATTTAAATTTTGCAAACTATAAAACACTATATACCACCAGGACCACCAGGTGGCCAACAAATCACTCTAATTTATTTATTTATTTATTTATTTATTTATTTATTTATTTAATTTATGTACAAGTAGGTAACATTGGGTTTGAGAGTATATATCATTGATGTTTTTACATTCTTGTAAAGCCACTAACACACACACACATACACACAGCATTTCAGGCAGATTCTCTTCAGGCTCTTAAGAACCAATTAACTTTACTCAAGGTCCAGGGCATCGGTTCATGCTAAGGTAAGCTGGGACCAAAGGTTAAGAATGGGAGCAACCGTATTCCCGGTCTGAAAGGATCATTTCAATACTAGTATTATTGATGCTTATTCTGAGCTGGGCTCCATTGGTTGCTTCCCTTATTGACTGTCTAAGGTAAAACTGAAAATAAAGGGTGTCTTGTCTGAGCAATGAGACAATGCTAGGACGGTCTACAGAAAGGGTTCAAAGTCATCAAGCAGGAGAATGAAAGAACCACCCTTGAGGCTCTTGAGTACTTACCTGGTGAAAAGTTAAAAACATCTACAGAAAAGTAACTTTATCATGATAAAACAGAGCACTTACCAACAGCCAATGAAACAAAAACTTGCTTAGGATATTTTAAGGCATACTGTACTAGGGTGATAACGAAAAGGCTGAACACAGGTATATTTGAAAAAGATTCCCTCGGTCACTGCCAACAAGCATGTGGAGTAAGGGGTGGTGCCCCCAGCCAAGGTATGACAGCTAAAACATTGGCCAAGCTAAGACATCCTTACACAAGCAGGAAAAATAAGAACAAAAAATGGGAACAACAACACAAGGATAGAAAAGACAAGGTAAAAATAATAACTCCAGATAGGAAGAGTGATATATGCAAATTAAGCAAAACCACAATGAGCTACAAACTTGGATGTGGAGAAAGCCCCAAGAATCCAAACAAAGAGTGCCACAACCAGAGCCTGGGCAACCCATACACATGCAAAGGGGTGGGTGAAAACAACAAAGGGTATCAGGATTAAAAAGTCAAACATCAAAACTTGGCACAGATGGAGTGCTGACCTACAGGAGAGGGTCTGTAAACAAGATAGGTGTAGGCTAATATGAGTCCATGAGAGTGGCAAGATGAAACGCGCAGGCAAGCTGCACGATGAACTAGATGAACACAACTAGAGAGTTAAGGCACACTCCAGAGGACCAGGCAACCCCCAAGGACTCGGGTACTGTAATGAAGCATAAAGGGAACCTCCACAATAAAACCAGTATTGTATACTTGCTTGGAAAGGCATGCACATTGTTTTGGGTTGGCTGGTAAATTCCCAACAAGGCCTAACTTCATAGAATTTAATAGAATGCACCCAAAAAGCTGGGGTATGCCTTAAAGAAAAAAGTTTATAACACTTGGGTATCTGTACACCCACCAGAGGCCCTTGCTAAGAAGGGGGGAGACGTCCAGAAAGTTGGACAATGTTTAGAGTCCCAGGGCAACTTTCAATGAGAGAGATCTTGGAGAACACAAGTGAAACTCGCCTCACCGAACAGGGTGCGCACTCAAGAAAACATGGCACATTACCTAGGTGAGAGACTGGGAGACCATCTCCGTGAAACAAGAGCAAGCATCGCAAGCATGCAGATAAAGTAAAATGTGGCACCTTGGTGAATCCAAAATGGAGTGGAAATGAAAGAATGTACAATATTACTAAAGTCATACATAAACACTAATGGCTTAGTCTAAGAGTTTTCTCTGGATTTGAGATGCACATGAGGCATTCTGTACCAATTTTTAATTTTGGTAATGATAAAATCCGTAGGAGCTGTGATGAGGGTTCGAACCTATGCGGTGGGTGTTCCCATGTACACGCGCTAGTGACTAGATCATGACAACTTTTCATTGATACAGTCACTTTAGTGTGGTTACTCTGTGTATTGAAAGGGGAGTGTCAGAGGGAGAACATGCCTAGATGACAGAGTCAGATTGCATGGGGGAATTGTGTGAAAATAGTGCTCTGGTTTCAGTAGAAGCCTCAGGAAATCCGTGTGTGTTCAGAAGAACTCTTGGTTGCAGTCGTTTTTAATGTTGTGGTCTAGTCGCTAGGGCGTGTGCGTGGGAACACCCACCGCATGGGTTTGAACCCTCATCACGGCTCCTACAGATTTTCTCATTGATGCAGTCACGTTAGTGTGATTACTGTGTATTTTCGTAGTGTTAATCTGAGGGCCATTCTTAGAACTGATTACTGTATATCATTGTAAATAGTTTTATCATTGTAATAGTGTTTTTCCTTAAAAGTCTTGTATGTAAGGTTTCTAGAACAATTTGGTAATTTTATAATTTAAGATATTTTGTTTAGGTTATTTAATGGTGACTGTGTGGAGAGGTGACTCTGAATCGACCAATGTTCGCGTCACGTGGGACACATACCCTGAGGGTATAATAACTGAAGCTCTGAAGCGACTTTCTCCAGCCCGAGATGATCTGTACCTGACCACTTCGGTGATGAAGTCCTCCCGTCATGCCCTCAAGATATGCGGAACAAATGAGTACCTACTAGCTGCTCGTCCCATCACACAGTACAAGGTAATGTAGAGTACCTTCTTGCTTGTTACCCTATCAAGTGCTACAAGACTAGGATGAATACCTACTTGCCACTCATCTCATTACATGGTACTGTACAAGGTAATGTCTAGTATGATCTTGCTAGTTATATTTTCACATGCTGTAAGGTAAGGATGAATGCTAACAGTACAAGGTAGTGTTGTGTACCTGCTACCAGTTACCTCATCATTGAGTAGGTATGTGACCCTTCACTTGCTGCACAATATTTTAGTGAGAGTGAACTGACTGCAGCAGTTGGTTGATGTACACAAGAAAGCTTTGCTTCTCTAGATGCAATTGTGACCAGGGAGCTCTGAAGATGCTGAAAATTATAGACAGTGTATACAACACTACATGAATGTTATATGGATTCTGTCCTCTTTTAATATTTATATATAGATGAATATTATTGTACAAATAGTTTCTTACATTTTAACAAATCGGTTCTACACGCATATAGTTTGCCTTTGAAAATATAAATTTATATTCATTCTGTATTTAAAGTGTAGTGCTTGTTTTCCAACTTGTACATGTTTAATGAATCTATTCAGTAGTTTCCACATTTATCTACAGATATTGCCAGTGATTCTAATAAAAAAACTCATTTCATTCACTTTGATATCTACTCAATTAGGGTAAGCTTTCCAGGGGAAATATGGCATCGTAGAATTATGTTATGTTCAGTAAATCTCTTGCAGACAATACGAGTGTGGTTATCTCGTGGCAAAACCCCTCAACTTTCCATGGTCTCACGTGGCGAGATGTATGCGGCACTCAACACATTTGACTTCGTGCAGCCATCGTACATTCGTATGGCTACCGCAGAGTCTTCGTCGTCCAGCGAGTCTTCACCGCTGTCTCTGTGGCATCCCAGTATGGATGGCAGGCTTAAAGTGCACATACTTTCTGCTTCATATGTCAACGTTAAGGAAGCTCATAAGGTTTGTGCACCCTGTTTGAAAATAGATGTAATACACAATGAAATCACAACATTCTGGTGTATCAATGAAAAAATGTTGAGGCTGTGTAATGGGATTGAATCCACATTCCTGTATTCTTCAGGCACATACACTACTGGCTGAACCATGAAGGTTCACTATGTAGCATGAAGGTTCACTTTGTAGTTTGTGCGCTTGGGAAGTCCACGGATACGAGTTCAATTTGTATGGCTCCAATGTTGTTTTCAAATGTAATGTTTGTCCAAAATAATATTTACATCCTATGGTTTCCTAGATTTATCTGCAAAATATTGGAAAAAATGTTTGTAAAGTAAAAATCTGTTTTAAACTCTTTACCTTTTCCTAATGTAACTCAGTGTCTCTGACGTCTAAAATTAAATCTCTTAATTGGATAATGCATTGATTTTACTGATTGTCTGGCAAAATGTTTCCTATATACAGAAAGAAATTGACTTAAGAGCATGTCTAGTATTATCTTATAAGACATAATTAGCGATAACAAAAATCTAGATTTAGTGTAGTACATATATACAACCTTAGTAATATATGAGAAAAATGTTCACTTGATTAATATATATTTTTCTATAATAGATTAAATAAGAAATAATAATTTTCTCAACGTGTGCACATTTCTGGGGGAAGCCCTGTCAACTCCCCGGAGCAATCCAGGGTGATATGGATATACAGTATTAGCTTTCTGGCATCAGTCAATGTGCATGGAGTTCTTGCCTACCAGGGACCATGAGCTAGAACCTGGCCCCCTCAGAGGCTCAGGGAGCAATGGTCTGTAGAAACCCCAGTGTGGTTGGCATTCTATGTCTGCCATCGACTGGGTCTGGCACCTAGAAAGGTAGGCGCCCCAAAACAAACCCCTATTCTAGTGAAATTATTGCTACCAAAAGCCGAACGAGTGGACAGAACTCCCCAAACGAAAAGTAGCAAACGAGCATAACGTCATTACGGTCCCACGCCGTTGTCTGCGCAATCCTTCCCAGGAAGGGGAAGGAGGAAACCCCAGACCCCTCATGCTGATGATCCACCCTTCAGTTCTTGGCTGATGTTATACTGGCAAGATCTTGTGCCTCTGACTCCTGCTTTGGTCTCGGTTTCTGCACCTTGTGGCATGGTCTGTCCACAGTTGGTGTGTGAGCCAGGAGTAATATTCTACGGTACTTGGGCTGCATGCATCTAGGGTTTCCTTCCCTAGGTGTGCAGTAAGTACTGCCCTTGGGGCTTGGGCCATCTTCCACAAGTCGCCTTGGGCTCTACCTCCGATGTGTTTTTTACGACTTTGTACTTAGCCGCCCTTAGAGTCAGCTTTGGTTTTTGTTGCCCTTGTTTGTCTCTGGGTAGGGGTAGTTTTTGTCACTGGTAGGGGCACAGGGTACTACACAGCTAATTATCATCTGTTATAGCGGCCAGCTCTGTTCCGCCTGGATAGGTTGTCCTCTTGTGGGTTTTTTCTTTTGTTTTTGTTTTCCTGCCTGGTGGGGGTGGAGGGGGGTCTGCCTTTGGTTGGTTGCCCTCTATCTATACTTAGGGTATATTTATACATATGTCTGTGTTCTTGGTGGTACCCCCTGCTAGGCCCCCCTTGAGTAGACACATCCCTGGGGTTCAACTGTTAGAAGCTTGCTTGGTAGTTTTGGGTGCTGATTTGCAGTACCCTGCCTGGGCTTCCCTTGGTGTGTTACCAAGGCTAAGGGCCCTGGAAAACCCCGTGGGGGCTCCTTGGTCCAATAGATGAGACCCCTCTCGCTTCTTGCGAGGTTGATGGTTGCTGTCCCCTTGCCTCAGGGTGACAATTACCAGTTGTGCCGCTGCCGTGCTGCCTGTAGGGTTGGTGATTCTTTTGACCTGGAGTCGTGCTACATTTGTTGTAGCAAACAACAAATGTTCACACAAGCTACTGATCATGATATGAGGGTGTAGGCAGCAGCTGCGTTACATGCTAGGTTTAGGTTGCTGCAACACAATAGGTTGGTTGCTTCCCCAGATGCCCTGAGACTGCCCCATTTTGGTTTTAGGAACTTGGACTTGGGGGAGGTCGCTTTGACTTTGGTTCCGTCCGCCCTTCCTTGTCTTTCCCCCTTCTGTTGTGTGTCCGGTTCCTCCCATCTTGCTTCTGGCTCCGAAACGTCCGAGGGTTTCCAAGTCGGGGCAGGGTCTAGTTGATGTTCAGACTTGGGCGGTCTCGGGGAATTCTCCTTCAGGGGGTGGAGGTGGAGGCATTTGAGCCTAGTCCTCCAGCCAGAGCTTCAGGGTCTGACAAGTGGGGGTGGGTCCCCCTTCGTTCCTGCTTTTTTCAGCGGCTCCTGCCTTTGCTTTAGAGGCAGGGGGTTTGGAGGACGGCTCGGCCCCGGGTCCTTAGGGTGAGGTTCCTGGGGCGGGGGAGGGGGTTGATTTGGGGCTCTGGGCCCCGTTTGACCCCGCCTGGGTTTTTGTATCCTCGGAGCTGGGCTTGGTGTTAAATGGAGTAGGGTTCTCTTCTGCTCCCTCCTCGTACAAGTTGGATTTGGCGTTACCTCTCCCCGAGTTTGGTTCTGTGACCCCGACGGTTCTTAGGTTCAGGTTCTTTCCTTCTGGAGGTTTATGACTTCCCGCGTTCCGTCCCATGTGGTGCGGGAAGCTCTTGTGGCTGACCTGCATGACCTGGATTATGCTTTCATATTGGATCCGCGTTCCTTCGTGTATGGATATTCGTGTCCTTACTGGGTTCATTATGGAGTTCTGGAGACATCTGGTTAGCAGACTGCCCGCTGTCTGAGCGCAAGGCTCAGACGGCGTTGCATGTTTTTATGGGATGGGGGGGGGGAATTTCAGCATCTGAATGCGTGCTTGTTTGCATCTACCCTTCCGTGGGATGTTAGTGTGATGCAGCTTCATGTGCAGGTCCCTTCCCTTTCGGATGCATTGGTCGCAGAGGATTTGCGTACATGTGGCCTGCTGGTTTTGGCCTTGTGTTTCTTCTCCCTCCTCGAGCTGTCCTTGGACTGGCTTGAGATGGATGTGGAGGGGCTTGGGGTCGCCTTCAAGTCTGGTGCATTGTCCATGGTGGCACATGCATCGTCTGCATTGTTGGAGCTGTTCAGGCCGCACCTGCAGGATGCGGTTTCGTGATTTTTTTTGCTTCACGCCTCGCATGTCAGCAGACGGTACTCACTTTTTCCTTGGAATCCACTTGGGCCCTGGCTCTTGAACTGTCTTTGCCTTTTTGTCCGTTACTGTTTGTGGAGTCTGCGGTTGTGCAGTATCTACAGGCAGTTTCGGCTAGTTGTCGTCCTATGTCGGGTTTGTTAGTGCTTCGTGGGGAGGGGGGAGAAGCCTTCCCAGCGGGGTAGTGCCAGGACTGTTCCCCGGTGGTTCATTTCCTGAACCGAGGATGGTTCGATGCGGTCCTTGGCTCTTTGGTGCTAGTTGCTTCAGGTGACTCTTCTGCCGAGTTCTCAGGGTTTGGCTCTCCTGGCGGATCACGTTCTGGTAGGGGGGTGGGGGTGTCCAATGTCCTGGCAGATGGCCTGTCCCGGTTCATTCCCCCTATTCCTGGGATGGACAGTCAATGCTAACTTGTTCCGTTGGCTCTGCTGGACGTTCGTGCCTCCGGAAGTGTATCTCTTTGTCTTGGCATTGTCGAGGCGTCTCCTGGTATACGTGGCACCTTTCCCCGACTGCGAGGCCGTCGGGGTTGATGCCTTCAAGCAGGACTGGTCGAGGAGTAGTTACCTATAACTCTTTCCCCGGTTCCGCTGTTGATCCTGGTCCTGACTCGCTTGGAGACTTACCAGGGAAGAGTTGTCCTGGCTCGTTGGTGGCCAGCCCAGCCTTGGTTTCAGGTGCTGCTTGCTCGGTGTCCGAATCCGAGGGTCTTCCTGCGGCTCCGCCTCTTTAGGCAGATTGGTCCAGCCCAGTACAAGGCTTGTTCATTTTTCTCCTCGAGTCTTCACGTATGGAGTTTGACTCGAGTCTATCATCATTTGTAGGGGCGCAGGTGGCTTCGTTGTTGGTCTCCCACCTGCATGCTTCGTCTCAGTAGCAGAATGAAGTTTCCAGGCGGTCCTTTTGGTTTTCCTATCACTACGTAATTGTACTTCTGTCTCTGATAGTGTTGTCCTGTCCTTTCCTTTTGTGGTTGTTCCAGGACCGTCATCTTATGCCAAATACTGTCCCCTTGTATCGTGCGATGCTGGCGGAGCCGCTGCAGCTTGCGTTCGATATTGATGTTACTTCTGCCCCGTTCCTCATGCTGTCTCGTATGTTGTTTCACTTCTGGCCTGCTCGTGACTCCGCCTAAGCTGTTCTGGTCTTTGGACCGGGTGCTCTCTTTTCTCTCTCCTCCTCGGTTTGTAATGGGCCCCCCCCCCCACCCCCTCGGTTCAGGATTGTTTTTCTAAGGCTCTTTTTTTTTTTCCTGTTGGCATTGGCTTCTGGGGGTTGGGTTGGGGAGTTTCATGCTCTCCTCCGGCGCAGGGGTTTATGCTCTTTTTGGTCCGGGTGGAAGGTTTGTTCGTTTGCAGCAGTCTCCTCCTTTTCTGCTGAAGAATGAGTCTGCTGCTTTCCGAAGGGGTCCTTGGGTTGTTAGTGCTTGGTTAGTCAGGTCGGGGGTGCGTCATGTGTTGTTCGGTTGCAGCTCTCCGTCGCTATTTGCATGCCACGGCCTTGGTGGCCAGGGATGTGCTTTGGGTTGACCCGGTTTCCCTCCTTCCCTGTTCCTGGGTTCGGGTCCCCCAGGTCGTCAGCAGGGTTATTAAGTCGAGCCAGCCTGCGGTCTATTCTCGTGCCCATGACGTTCGTAAGTTTGCTGCTTTGGCTGCCGTTTTTGGCAACATGTCTTGGGTCAACATTCGGGCACGGGGTTTTTGAAGGTCGAACAGGGTCCTGGCCGCTCGCTATATTGTCAATGTACCTGGACATAGTAGAGCCTGCATTGCATTTGGTCAGCGGTTGCAGCCAGTTGTCTCGACTTTACGTTGAGGGGTGAAGAC